TGCTTTATTATAAGAGGAAGTTAAAACATAAGTGCTTTAATGTTATGTCTTAGTCGTACAGGACATTGGCAAGACTATATCTTGAGTTCCGCGTTCATTTTTGTTCTTATTTTAGGAAGGACACAAATGCATTGGATGCACTTTAAAGCAGGTTTACTAGACTAATATTTGGAATAAGCAGCTCATCCTATGAGGAAGAGTTAGAAAAATAGGCTTATTGCCACTAGATTTTGAGCTATGATTTAATTGAAATGTGGTGAATAAAATATCATCCTGCTGAAAAGTTATGAGAAGGTGGACGTGGGAAGGTAGTTTCCTTTTGTGAGTCAGTCCAGAACCAGGGGTACCTTTTAAAAATTAGGAGTTGCCCTTTTAGGACAGAGATGATGAGAATTTTTTTTTTTCTCCTAGGTATCTTTGGAACTCTGCCTCAGAAGACAGTGGAAGTGGGCGGGGTTATTGAGTATTTTTAAGGCAGAGGTAGATATTTGTTAGACTGGAGAATCAAGGTTGTTGAGGCTATATAGGAATGTGGAATTGAGACCACAAAACTGTTGAGTCATGATCTTATTGAGTAGCAGAACAAGATTGAGGGGCCAAATGGCCTAACCCAATCCATAATTATATATGTACGAAGGCTTTTTCAAAATCTAAATGTAGCAAATCCATTGATTTTCCCTGATCCATCCGGTTTGTTACAATCTCAAGAAACACTAATTGATTTCTCAAACATGATTTTCCTTTCATAAATCCATGTTGATATTGTTCAATCAAATTACGATGTTCAAAGTGCCCTTTTACTACATTCTTAATAGGAGATTTCAACATTTTTCCTACTATCAATGTCAGGCCAACTAGCCAATAATTCCACTTTTTATCCTTCCCTCCGTCTGTGAACAGTGGGGTTGTGTTTGCTATCATCCAATCAGCACAGATCATTGGAACATCTAGGGAATTCTAGAAAATCAAAGGATTTCGAGAAAGTAGAGGTTGTTTACCAAGATGCAATCAGTGATAAGGAACTTGAAGTTTTAGGAGAGGCTGTAAAAGTTAGCCTTGTCTATTCCAAGGAGGATAGTTCTAAGAGGTGATCAGTAGGAATTTTTAAGACGCTGAGTGGTTTTCAAAGAGAAATTAAGAGAAAACTCACAAGCACATGCGTCGGTAATGAGAGGTCATAGATTCAATATCATCAGCAAAAGATTTAGAAGGGAGATCAGAATTCTTTTCATTCAAATCGTAGGGATCTGAGTGGCACTACTTGAAAAGCTGGTGGAAGGTACTTGGGAATGAGAAATCTACAGGATTACACACAGGGAGGATTTGGACAAAATATGACTAGTGTTTTAGAGAGCTAGGATTTTCAAAATGGTCCCAAAGGCCAGGCCTACTGTGATGCAAGCAAGTTTTATTAAGTCAAAGTAATGAAATTAAGCTGAAAAATCTTTAATAGTTATACTATGCATGCCCTGAATAAAATTGTTTGAGAGAAATTCTGAAGTAAAAAAATCAACATTAATTGGTTAGTTCCATTTCAAAGCAAAAACAAATGATCATTAGCAGCTCTAGGACTCAAACCTTGAAAAGCATATTAAAGAATTTACCAACAAAAAAGGTAGCTGTGCAATTCTGATTATGGTAATCAAAATCAATTTAATTCAATTTAGTTATTAAAGGCATCACTAATGGCCTTACATACAATAAAATGAATGGAATGAATGTAAATATTGCACCTTGTTCAAAAAAAAATGAGACTGGGATAAATCAGGTAATTACAAACCGATCAGCTTAATGTTGGCATTGGGAGTGGGGTTTCTGTAGGCCGTCATCCAGGACAACATATTTATTGGTAAAAACCTAGGTTAATAAATACCAGTCAACATGGATTTGATGAAGACACCATGCCTGACAAATGTAATTGAGTTCTTCAATGAAGTCATAGGCAGGGTTGATGAAGGTATTGATGCTACTTTGATGGAGATTTGTAATGTAGCAAGAAGTGGACTGAGCATTGATGGTGGATTGAGTGGATGCTTGTGGATGTGGTGCCAATCAAGCGGGCTGCTTTGTCCTGAATAGTGTCAAGCTTCTGGAGTGTTGTTGGAGCTGCACTCATTCCAGGCGGATGGGGAGTATTCCATCACACTTCTGATTCGTGCCTTGTAGATGGTGGTTGGGCTCTAGGGAGTCAGAAAGTGAGTTATTTGCCATGGACATGTACTGCAACAGTTCATGAAGGTAGTTTATCACCACCTCAGGGACAATTAGGTATGGGCAATTAAAACTGGCCATGCAACGTTTTCATAATAACTAGAGAAACACACACCCAGGTAGCTTTTCTCACCATTTAAACCTTTAAAGCAAGGCAGACAGAATGAGCTAACGGTTAATAATGGTGTGGTTTGGACAGTCTTACAGGATGAAGTGGAGTGCATAATGAGTTATGAAATGTATCCAGTTGCTGTTTGGGTTTAAATTTCTATGCCCTGCATCTGAGAGTAATCCAATTTTCACCGCCTTGTTTCCTGCATCATACATTCTGCAGGCATTCTTTCCAAATGTCACAAACTGAGGACTGGGCTTTAACAGCCCAAAGATGGAGGTTAGCTGATGAAACCATAAAATGATGAGAGAAAGTAGAGGTGAGTGGGGCAGAGTGTCTATCACCTTCTTGCTGCCACGGCATTCAACCAATATTGAGGAACCGAGGACAGTACTCCCATCCACAGGCCAATTTTACCACTTAATTGACAACTATGGGCCTTTTTCCTCTGCTGCTGGCATTTTATTGGTATCTACCCATCCCTTTACTCAGGAGGTGAGGGTGGCAAACACCTATTACAGCTAAGTAAAATGTAGAGCACCATTGATTACGGACATACATGAAAGATACTGACAAAGTATCTGGATAAATTCAAATAAGGTTGCATCCTGTAGAATAAAATAATTTCAAATGAGCGAAAGGGAACCACTTTCTCTTGTAGGATTTCCAGATTTGAGAAAAATAGAAAGACTGCGAATTAATTTAGCAAACATAAATCTTAGGAAAACAAAACAATGCACCTCTGTTCGCAGTATGTATTGAGATTCCAAAGTAAATTATTTTTTAATAAAAGTCCACAACTTACAGAGAAATGAATTACAGTACAGCTATCACCTTACCTACTGCTCTCTCCCTGTCCTTATGTTGCCTCAATTTGCTTTTGAATGTGGCAAAGTGATGCAATATTATATAAGAGCAACATAAATTGTCAAAATGATAAAGCTATCAATTTGTCTCAATATTGTAAAAATCGTGACCAACTTCAACAATAATTCCTCTTGAAACAAATTCCTGAAAGATATGATGTGTTTTAGGAATGCGCTTGTTTCTTTATTTTCAAAGTCAAATAATGATTCTGGCCTATAGTTTCCTGACATGCAGAATTGGACAGACTCATTTTAACAAGACACTGAAAACCTCTACTATTTCTTAAACTTCATCAATTGTGCAAATTGTAACTTTTGGGTACAAAAAGCCTATTCTCTTCACTCTAACCTTCCACAATCTTCTAATTGGTAGTGTGACTATATTCTTTATTTTATGATTTTGGTGGGCAAGCTTAATCTCATTGAACTCTAGCTGTTCTTTGCTCCTGTTCTACCCCTCAGACAGTATCCCTAATCATTTCCACATCCATAACAGCAACTGTTAACACCACTACCCAAATTTCTTTTCGAGTTTCCACGTTTTGTTCTAGCTGTTGTGTTGAATATTGTTGATTCTTTCTGGACATTTAGAAACATTCTGCCATTTCGTTAAAATATAACCAACAGATAGAAGACTTCAGTTCACACTGGTATGTTGCTTACCCAAATTCAGGCATGCAGTACAACCTGAACAATCCCAGCTCAGCAAATGTCAGCACGCAGGACTGGTTTTGATTTTCCGACCTTCGAGTTCCTTTGAGGAAGAACTGTCTCGTCGCAATCTGCTCAAGGTTTTCAAATTTATGTGCTGTAGGTCGGGTGCCTGCTTCTGAATACTGAAAATCTATTACAAGTCTTTACTTCTATATCTCCACAGTCTGTAATTATTTACATTCACTGCATGAGGTACATGCTAGAGCTGTACAACTGGCAGTGCATTCACCACCTCAACCATTACTTGGGTGGGGAAGGAAAATCCCAACAGCAGAAATAGATCGCAAGCTACTTAATACTGACCTTCTGCTACAGAATAACCTTTTTTGTGACCTCATAAACTAGACACAATACAAAAAGAAAAGGCAGCTTTGGAGTGTAGCTTAAAAACTGCTGTTGAGTCGAGGACAGTAGTTTTGTTCCATCTCGAGCTGCTGGTGCACACATCAGCAATCTGTAGCACCACCTAGAGATATCAGACTGCATTTGTTCCCTCCTCAATTCAGTGGTTTAGCGATGCAGAGATTTATTTGTAGAAGAGATCATCTCACTCTATTCAGGACATATTTCAAAAGAGGCACCAGGCTAAGATATTTCAACAAATGTGTAAAAATATATAATTCTGCACTTCTGTCCAATACTAACAGCAAAAAGCAAAATCCTGAACTCTCAGTTACAAGAATTATCTTCAAGCTTTTGTCAGAGAACCCAAAAAGGTACAGGTTCAAACTTTAAAAAAAAACCCAACTAGGAAAATCTCCCTCTTTGTTTTTTGCATACCTGATCAATAATAGGTACATCTTGATACTGTTTCAGAAGAGTTTCCAGCCATCAAACTGTGCAGGGTACATCTTAATAAGAACTAATGCACTGAAAATGCATTCCTTGGATTTCAATAGCAAGGACTACTGGGGGATTCAATAGCAAATCCTCTTGCTGGCTGCTTTATGTCAATAAGCATGCTCAAAGCAACTTTTATAAATCTATCATTTACAAATGCTGACTCTTTGAGCAAAACCAAGCATAATATTCAGCAGTTAAAGCTGAGCTGAGTAACATAAAGATGGCCCATGTGTTTTCATTCTGATGCCTTTTCATCATCTTGGGTTAGCACTCACTGCTGATGGAAAAAGTGTGCCCTGAGAAGACTGGAAATTTGAAGATGAGGAGGACATTTTGACTGGACTGACAGGTTCTCCCGTCTGGAGTCTCCAGACCAGCTCCTCGTTTGTTCGGCTGAGTCTTTTCATTTCCTTGCTTTCCTTTTCAACATATTCATGCAGCGTTGCATTTTCCTCAGAGAGTTGTCTGCAAGAACAAGTAGAAAAGAAACATATTTGTCCTGAATTGTCTATCAGTCAGCTTATTGTGAAGAGGTAGTTAACTGTTCCTCCTCCTCACGTAGCACATTTGTAGCCTGAGGGAACTGTATGTTTGAAAGTAGTTTCGTTCAAAAATAAAGAGTGTTTTGTCTAATCCTTAGGTCAATGGCCTCAGACTCAGTAAAGTTGCCTGGGATGGACCACATTTCAGTGCAAAATAATAACAAATGCAAGAAAAATAACAAAGGGATTTCAAAAACTGATGGTCAGCTCCATATTCCAGGCAGAATACAGTGCTCCATGGCATCCTTCCTTATTCTTCAATGTTTGTGTCCAATGACTAATCTTGACTGGGAGTGTGACAGAGGCTGTAAGGCTATCCATTGTCTCAAAGGACCCACTAGTTGCTTGGCATGGATAAGCCATTTTTTTATTATAAAGTGTTTTGCATGCGACTATTTACCTTGTTAAGGCAACATTGTTGTCGATTCTGGCTTTCAGGTCTTCATTCTGTTGCTGAAGAATTTGAACCTTTTCTTCTAATACCACGTTCTTCTCGGCCTGCACGGATGGGATAACAACGTTGTTTTATAAACGTGGCTGCATCATGCTATTATTTTGAGGTACATTGATTTAATAGTCTTACAGATAGCCAACACAGCGAGAAGGCCAGCGTTCTGAGTCTTAATGTGATATTGTTATTAACAGATGTTCAGAACAATCAAATAAAAGCAAAAAACTGCAGATTTTGGAAATCTGAAATAAACACAGAAAATGCTGCAGAACCTCTGGAAGTCAGTGTCATCTTTAAAAGTTCTGAAGAAGAGTTATATTGTACTCGACACATCAATCCTGTCTCTCTCTCTCCAGAGATGCTGCCAGAATTGCTGAGTTTCTTCAGCATTTCCTGTGTTTGTTCAGAACAATGTCCAGTTAAATATAAGGAATAAGCACACTTGGTGGGCTGATCTTCTTGAGTTGAGTTTACATACTCATAAATCATGCATGTGATCGACACTGTTTTCCATTCATTAGAGTTGAAAAGGTTCTGCTTACAAAATCCTGCTACAGGCTCCCAGGAGATGAGTTTCTGCACTGCGCATATGCATTAGATGTGTGGAGTCCAAAGGTACATTGGCATGACAGAAATAAAACAGGACCATATAATGTAAGTGTTCTTTAAGGACAAATAAATGTAACTTGTGTAACTCTGATGTGTTGCTGCACCATGTTTAAATAAATGCAACCGCTAACTTTTGATCTCCATTTCTGTTTTTGTCTTCTCTGTCAGACTTTATTCTTGGTCTTCTTCCACCATTTCACATGAGACAACTGGAAAGAGATATCTAATCTGCAGTCGTAAGGAGAACATGTAAAAAATCCAAAACTATGGGGAGGCAATGGCCTAGTGTAATTATTGCTGGACTGTTAATCCAGATAATGTTCTGGGGACCTGGGTTCGAATGTCGCCACGGCAGATGGTGGAATTTGAATTCAATAAAATACCTGGAATTAAGAATCTATCGATGATCATGAATCCATTGCTGATTGTTGGGGGAAACCCACCTGGTTCACTAACGTCCTTTAGGGAAGGAAACTGGCAAAATTACCTGGTCTGGCCTACATGTGACTCCAGACCCACAGCAATGTGGTTGACTCTTAACTGCCCTCTGAGGAATTAGGGATAGGCAATAAATGCTGTCTGGCCAGTGACACCCTCATCCCGTGAATGAATAAAGGGGATTTCCTTGATTTTCATGACTCTGCATATTGTTTATTATGTGTGGGTTGGTGGACAAATGTACATCCATAAGCTAACTTGCCCAGTGAGAAGCTAACCAGATTGGACCAGTAAAATGGAAAGTAAAACTGGGTGGTGTGCAAGAACAGCAGTAAATCCAAACCAATCCAAAGATGTGCAGGTAAGGTGGATTGGCCATGCTAAATCTCCCAAAGTATCCAGGAATGTGTAGGCCAGGTTGACTGGCAATGCGAAATGCAGGGTTATAGGAATAGCTTTGGGGGGTGGGTCTGAGTGGGATGCTCTTCGGGGAGTCAATGTGGATTCAATGGCCTGAATGGCCTGCTTCCACACTGTAGAGATTCTATGGTTCTATGATATGATCCTGATCATGTCTTAGCCCTTTATCTGCACATATACTCTTCCAGTAGAGATAAATTACACCAATACAATTTCTCCTTCCTCAACCCAAAGGACAAAGTAGTGATTCAAACTGAATCATCCAGGTCTGTTTAGCTTGAAGGTGATGAGGCCAAATTTTAATCTGTGGTAGCCTAGGCAAACAGCATTCCATGCCAAAACAGCACTCAGATTTTGAGCACCCTTGTGCACGATCTCCCTCATTATGGCCAGAAAGTTATGAGGTGGACATGTCTGAAAACCTCTTAAGAGGGTTAAAGAGAAAAAGTTATCCCCAGGATTTGTCAAAACCAATGTGAGTTTCTCTTTGTGAAAATAGGAAAAAGAAAGCAACATGGAGCTTACTTTTGAACATAATTGACTTTAAAGTCACAACCAGCACTTATTTTGCTTATTTAATAAGATTAAACCTGATTGCTCCCATCTTAAAGTAGAATGTTAGCATTCAACAAAATCTGAGCAACAGGATGCTGTACTGGGACACAATGTAGCATTGTTCTTGCAATGAGATACTTCCAAAAAAAAATAATTTCACAGATTTGGCAAGCTGAGAATTCAGATCTGATGCAGTAAAATTTAATGAATGGAATTCTAGTTATTCCTCTAACCAGTTTTTCTAATCCAATAATTTTCTTTTCCTGATGATGGATTTGTTGATTTTTCATTTCAAGAACATGTTTCAGACTGTTCATATCTTCCTCCAGGTGCTGGTATGGTGCCAAGGCAATCTGTAAAATAGAATAAAAATGAATAAAAATCACAGGACAGGAAACATTGGAGTAACTCCTCTCTTTAAGAGGATCTTAGGTCACATTGAAGCCAGACTAAGTTTTTTTTTCCTTCTCTAATGGACATTAATGAACCAGATGGATTTTTATGAACATTGACAATAATTACCTGGCCCGCATTAGACAAGCTTTTTATTTCATGTAATTTATTCAAATGTCACCATCTACCTTGGCTGGATTTGAACCCACATCTGCAGAACATTTGCGTGGGATTCCGGATTACTAGCCCCCTAAAGCTTCCTGTCTGTTTCAGTCTATCATCAGAATCATGTTATTGCATCTGTTGATTTCCACATCATTTGGAGTAGCTCCATGTATCACAGAAATATAAGAAATGGAACTGAGGATCTACTTATGAATGCTGCCTATCTAATGTATTTTGCATACAGGCAGGTTCAAAAATATACACACACCCCCAAATACAAACACACAAATGGCAGAAACTCATTACAATAAAATGCTGGGGTACTAATTGAAAAAAAAAAGCTGCTACAACAAGGAATCAATATAACTATAGTTCTGAAAATGTGAGTACTAAAATACATAGAAGTTTATCAAATCACGAGGGGCATGGATAGAGCAAATAGTCAAGGTCTTTTCCCAAGGATAGGGACATCCAAAACTAGGTTTAAGTGAGAGGGGAAAGATTTAAAAGGGAGCTAAGAGGCAACTTTTTCACGCAGAGGGTGATGCGTGTAGGGAATGAGATGCCAGAGGAAGTGGTAGAGGCTGGTACAATAGTAACATTTAAAAGGCATTTAGATGGATATATGAATGGGAAGGGTTTGGAGGGATATGGACCAAATGCTGGCAAATGGAATTGGATTAGTTTAGGATATCTGGTCAGCATGGACAAGTTGGACCAAAGGGTCTGTTTCTGTGCTGTACATCTCTATGACTCTAAATAGCAGCTTAACTGTCTAGTTTTTCTATTTGCCAAGAAAAATAGCACTATAAGTAAGAGTGCAGTATCTGGAAGAAACCTAGAATCCATTGCAGTTTGTCCATATATTTAGACTGGCTCTTCAAGTATCTCACCTACACAAGTTCTGCATATATCAGTCTGGTGTTGGGGTCGATTCAACATGGCTCGAGAGGGTAGCTTTCCCTTCCAAGAAACTGGCATTTTCAAACAGAGCCGTCACAAGCAACTGCCTTTTAATGAAAGGGCCATGAACTGCTTTGTGGGATGATTACTGACCTTTGTTTTTATTCATACGTCGTTAGACCAATATGTATTCTCTGTCCCTTGATTACCCAGGGGGGCAATTAAGAATCAATCACATTGCTATGGACCTATGGACCTGGGGTCACACTGAAGCTAGACTGAGTTCTTTTCTTTATCTTCTAATGGACACTAACAAGGTCACAAGAAATAGGGGCAGAATTTGGCCATTCAGCCCATCAAATCTGTTCCGCCATTCAATCATGGTTGATATGCTCCTCATCCCCTTTTTCCTGCTTTTTCCCCATAACCGGTCAACCCATTACCAATTAAAAATCTGTCTACCTCCTCCTTGAATTTACTCACTGTCCCAGCATCCACCGCACTTTGGGACACAAATTCCATAGACTCACAACCCTCTGGCAGAAGTAGTTTCTCCTCGACTCTGTTTTAGATTTGCTAGCCCACATCCTAAAACTATGATCCGTCGTCCTAGAATTCTCCACAAGAGGGAGCATCTGCTCCACGTCTATTTTATCTATACCCTTTAGCATCTTGAATACTGCAATTTGATCTCCCCTCATTCTTCTAAAGTCCAGAGAGAATAGGCCTAAACTGTTTAATCTAACAAAATAGATGGATTCTTATGCACATTGACAATGTTCAATGTGGCCAAAAGTAGACAAGTTTTTTATTCGATAATATTTATTCAAATGTCACCATCTACCTTGGCTGGATTTGGACTCTTGTCTGCAGAACAGTAGCATGGAGTTCTGGATTACTAGCCCAGTGACATTACTACTATCTCCCTGCCTTCCTGCACGTGAATACAAGTAAATTTTTAAAATATTGACCAGCAGCCAGTTCCTAGCCTCTCACCTACTCCTGTAGCCATTGTATTTACATGTTTGGTCCCATTTAGTTTCTGGTCAATAGTGACCACCAGGATGTTGATAGTCGGAGATTTGGCGACAGTAATGCCCTTGAATATCAATGGATGACAATTAAATTATTTATTGGCTTATTGGAGCTGGTCATTGCCTGTGACATAAATATTACATACCACTTATGCGCTCTGGCCTTGATATTATTTAGATTTTGCTGCATGTAGGCATGACTGTTTCAGCATCTGAGGAGCCATGAACTGTCTTAAACATGTATAGGATCAGTGAACACCCCTTCTTCTGAATTTATGATGGAGGGAAAGTCATTGATGAAGCAGCTGAAGATGGTCAGGCCTGGGACACTACCATGAGGAACTCCTGAAATTATGTTTGAGGCTGAGCTGTTTGACCTCCAAAAACCACCACCATCTTCATTTACACTAGATAGGCTGCCAACCAGTATTTCTGTGTGATTCCCATTAACTCCAGTTTTGCTGCTGCTCCTTGTGACGATACTATGGCTTTAAGACACATATTTTGTGCTTTTTTTGAAGAGAGTTCAGAAGACAGAGGTGGAGGGCGGTCTATTTGAATCCAATAAAGGAGTTTGTGAGGCTTTGGGTTTTTTTAAAAAAAGTTTAAACAATAGAAGCTCCCACAAAACCAAGATTTTTAGTTTTAGTTTTTCAGTAGCAGTTGTTGTTGGGGTCGTATATCTGAGTTTGGAAGCTGCAGTACAACTGTCTCTATCTTTATCTCTCTCTCTCTTGTTCACTCTCCGAGTTTTCTCTTTATGTTTTTTCTTCCTGGACTGGAGAATTGCCTATGAGACAATCTATTTTACTGAATGTGCCTTTGCCAAGGGTGTGTTTATGGGATGTTACTATAATGGAATGGTTACTGTTTAGTAGTTAAATAACCAATTATTCTGTTAAGTTTTCCAATAGAGTTCTTATTCCAACTTCTTCTTTCTTTTGTTGTATTTTAGCAATAGTGTATGTTTAAAGTGTGTTTTGCTTAAACAAATTGCATCTTGAATGCAATGCCTGGCACTTGCATTTAAAGTAAGGAGAAGATAGGGTCTAGGCTATTTTCTTAATATACTTTGAAGGGGTTTGGTCTGGGCCATAACATCCTTGATGTCATATTTGGTCAGATGTTACCTTGATGACAAAGGTCGTAAATTCTACCTCATCCCTGGAGTTAGCATTTTTTCCCATCTTTGGGCGATGGCTGTAATAAGACTGAGAGTCATATGCACCTAAATAATAGATGATCGTGTATAAGCCAATCCTTGATCTTTAGTCAAATAATTCTTTTTTTTTTACATTTCTTGCGTAAACATCAATCCTTGACTTTTGGCTAAAATATCCAAACTCTTCCTACTTCCTACCTGCTGAAGTCAAACTAACCCTAGTTGATTCTCTACCCATGTGAAGACATCTAAAGCTCCTAAAGTCTGCCTGCATTGACATGTTGTCTCCTCACTGCTGCATGCCAATCCCATTCTTTAATATGATCACATGGAATTGAGAAAGAATGGGAGATACTCAGTCCAGTTCAAGCAGCAATCATCGAGATTGCAGACTGAACAAGTAATTGCCTAGCGGCTGCAGAATTAAAGGTACTGCAGAAGAACATTAGGAATTGGAGAATGTTTTTTTACACAGCTTAGGCAGATAGCTAAGAATAAATGTGGAAACAGAGGAAAGCCTAGCTTGTGGTTGCAGTTAGAAAAATGCATCAATTAAAATCACCAGAATTGGCTGTCATTTTCTCAAAGATCAATCAGAATCTTCACTTAGAAACAAGCAAGAAAATTACACATTGCAGACTTCAAAGTCAGCCCTGGATGGTGTACCAGGTTTTTGTGAAGAGAAACAGAAGGTCAACATTTCACAAAGTCTTCCAGTAAGTGAGAGGCTTACTGCATTTCAACACCTTATAAACCAACATTGACAAAAGAATGGATATTGGTTAGCTTGATTCAGAACAAGGTTGAGATTCTGATAAACATTGATATGCCTGCCAGTCAAATAGAGAGCAAGGTTAGAGAGCAAACAGCATAAGTGAATAGGGCTGTTCATGAATAGAGTGAATTGAACACCATGCTTTGCGTGTCTGAAAGGACACAGATTAAGAGAGTTGAGATATTCAAGAGAAAACCATCCCAAAACAGTACTTTTCAAAATAAGTAATTATCCACATTTGTGATAAATGATAGATGGATGAAGGTGGCTTCAATGTATGCATGAGGAATATTTAGCCTTCCCAACCAGGAGGGTTACATAAAGAAAATAGTTTTCTCTTTGGGGACATAACTTTTTATTCATTCATGGATGTGGGTCTTGCTGGCTGGGCAAGAATTTATTATGAGAAAGTGCTGGTGAGCTGCCTTCTTTGCCTGCTGAAGTCATGTGCTGTAGATGGACTGACAATACATTTAAGGAGGAAGTTCCAGGATTTTTACTCAGTGACACTGCAGGAATGGTGATGTATTTCCAAGTCAGGATGGTGAATGCCTTGAAGGGGAACTTGCAGGTGGTGGGATTCCATGCTGTCCTTGTCCTTCTAGATGGAAGTGGTTGTGGGATTGGTAGGTCCTGTTTAAGAACCCTTAACTTCTGCAGAGCATCTTGTAGACGGTACACACCGCTGCTACTGAGTGTCAGTGGTGGAGGGATTGGATGTTGTGGACATAGTGCCAACCAAGTGGGTTGCTTTGTCCTGGATGGAGCCAAGCTTCTTGAGTGTTGTTGGAGCAACACCTATCCAGGGAAGGGTGGAGTATGATTGGTGCCTTGTAGATTGTGGACAGGCTTTGGGGAGTCAGGAGGTGAGTTACTCACTGCAGGTTTCCTAGCCTCTGAATGCTCTTGTAGCCACTGTAC